TAAATAGATTCAAAACTGTGTCCTGAGTTTAAAAATACCCAGTGTTTACATGCTTTTTTGCTTTTTTTTTTGCAAGTTATAGGAGTATAAGTACAAGTAAGATATCGCAGTTTCAAAGCATACATTTTTAAAATTTATCAGTAGTGACATTGTAACACTATAATCTGTCATAAATCACCCCACATGTATATATTTTATTTTAAAGTAGACAACCCAGGGTATTCATCTAAGGATATTTTGACACGTTCTATGCAGCCATTTTACCACCAGTCTTTGCCAAACTTCGCATAGTTATTTTATTTTTTTCACATACATTGCAATTCAGGTATACATTCACAGAACCTGTTATGTGTTGCTGCCAAAAAACACACTAATATGTGTTCAGCAACATCTTCCGAGTACAGTGATACCACTCCTGCATAGGCTTGTCGGGTTGTTTGGGGGCTAAAAGGCCACATTTGGCAGGTGCGCATATTCATCTTCCAACTTGGAATTTTGACATATTGTCAACCTGTGCATATGTCCTATTTGGGACATTTGTAAGGCCGGCCTATGTATTTTACCCCCATCAAACCATATATTTTTGAAAAGTGGACCCCCTGGGGAATTTCAAATGGTGGTATTTTAACACTTTCCATCCACTAATTCTACCACCAGACTTTGTCAAGCTTTTACGTAGTAATTTTTTTTCAGTTTTTTTCACACACATTGTACTTTAGGCATGAATTAACAGATAGTGTTAAGTATCACTGCCAAACAACACCCCAATATATGTTCAGCAACATCTCCTGAGTACAGTGATATCACCCATGCATAGGCTTGTCGGGTTGTATGGGGGCTAAAAGGCCACATTTGGCAGTTGTGCATATCCATTTTCCAACTTGGAATTGTGACATGTAGTCAACTTGCACCCATATCCTATTTAGGCCAATGTATTTTACCCCCATCAGACTATATATTTTTGAAAAGTAGACAACCCAGGGTATTTTTAATGGTGGTATTTTAACACTTTTCATGCACTGAATTCTGCCACCAGCCTTTGTCAAACTTTTGGGTAGTAATTTTTGTTTTGTTTTTTATTTCCACACACTTTGTACTTTAGGCATGTATTAACAGATCCTGTTATGCATCACTGCCAAGCAACACCCCAATATGTATTTAGCAGCATCTCCTGAGTACAGTGATACCAGCCATGCATAGGTTTGCTGGGTTGTTTGGGGCTAAAAGGCCACGATCGAGACTTGTGCATGTCAGTTTTTCAACGTGATATATAGGTATGCTTGGCCTATCTTCAGTTTGGTGTATTTTTGCATCCCCCAGTCTGTGTTACCATCATGAAAGTGTATATTTTTATCAAGTAGACATTCCAGGGTATTTTATATGGGGTGTTTTAACACAATTTCCCCCACCATTGTGCTAAAATATTTTCAGAGAACCTGCATGGTGATAATTTGTGAATTCTGCTTTTTGATTTTAACCAGCAGGTTATATGTTACTGCCAGAAAACACCCCAGTTTTTTTTCTGCAAAGTCCCCTGAGTACACCTATGCCCCCCATGCATTGGTTTGCCACGATTTTACAGTAACAAATTTTGGACTTGCCCATTTTGGCTGAATATAGTTTGCTTGCTTTGCTAAGCACATGTTGAGTGTGGTGCATTTTTCCATCCCCCAAAGTGAATTTATGGTTTGAAAGTATATATTTGTATAAGGTACACATCCAATGTTTTGACTTCTTTATCCCAACCATTTTGCCCCTTAAAATTCAGAGAAAGTGTGTGGTGGTAACTTTTGAATTCTGTTTTTTATACACATTTTGCTTTTAGAATTCGGCCACAATACTTTTTTAACTAAATGTGCAGGTATCAAATGCACCTTTAGCAGCAATCTCTGAACTAACTCCTGCAAAAAGAATCTAACTGGAGATTTGGGGAAAGGAAACTAACTAAAATGTTCTGCTTTTAAAAGAAACAAAAAGAAATTCAGGAACAAGTCTTACAAAAAGAGCTTAAAACATGTTCCAATACATAATCCGGGTTTTGAAGGGCAACCGGGACAGTGAAAGGGGGTGTCTGTCCTTTTCCCTTTTTTGTAACAGACCCGGCAACATTTCTGGGGATTTGTTTTATTTGCAGTAGGGGGGGATCTTAAAAATATTATGCGTAACATCAATTCTTGATTTCTCTGGCACCGTTGTTGAACTTCAACGGTACCATCTCCATAAATGATTGTTGAAATCACTTTTAGTTGAAATTGGAGAAAGGTGGTTCTTCCAGGATTCATTTTTTTTAAAAGTATAAACGAATTGTGGGTTGCTACTTGCATCAGATAGATAGCCACCTTTTTGTACCAGGCTTTAGTTTTTCTTAAAATAAGATATGGCTGCATGAGCTGATCAGCCAAATTTACACCCCCCATGTGCCTGTTATAAGCCCTGACGCAAACAGGTTTGGAATTTACTCTGCCTCGGACAGTGACATCTGACATGCTTTCGTCATGGATGGTGGTTAGCATGTTAACATCCTTCCTGTCCTTAAATTTAATTGCAAGCACTTTAGCTTTGCGCAGAGCTTTGCATTGACTTTTTTTTTAATTTGGCCTCCATGAGAGGTCTGGGGAAATCTTTGGAATTTTTTCTAACAGTGCCGCAGGCCAGTGTCTGCAAACTATAAAGCGATTTAAACAAACGGACACTTCTATAGAAATTGTCCACATAAAGGTGGTAACCCTTATTGAACAAGGGGATCAGTAGGTCCCAAACTATTTTCCCACTTGCCCCCAGAGAGTCAGGACAGCCAGGAGGGTCCAGTTGACCATCTTTCCCCTCATAAACACGAAAGGCAAACGTATAGCCACTTTTGCTCTCGCACAATTAGTAAAACTTGACACCATACCTAGTGCGCTTTGAGGGAATGTACTGTTTGAACCCCAATCTCCCTTTATATTTTATAAGGGATTCATCAACAGATACATTTTGCTGTGGAATATAAACGTCAGAAAATCTTTGCTGCAGATGGTCTATTAGTGGGCGTATTTTGTGAAGCCTGTCATATTGTGGGTGATCTCTGGGGTGTATTGTCATTGAAATGCAAATATCGCAGCACCGACTCATATCTTGCTCTAGACATTGTTTGGGAGTATATAGGACTAGAACAGATTGGGTTGGTGCTCTAGTGAGAGCGGATTGAGGGCTTCTTTATTATCCCCATGAGCATTGTAAGAGCCCAGAATTTTTTGAGTTCAGGGACATCTGTGGGATGCCAAACATGCTCCTTGACTGCATAGCTACCTGGATTTGCATAAAAAAATTGTGTAGCATAGAGATTAGTCTGGGAAGCAATCTCCTGCCAGATGGTATCCCCAAAAATAACTCCATATATTGCATAGCGGAGAAGTCCTGCACATTGACATTAATGCCTGCGTTGGCACTAAAAGGGGGGATGTTGGGCTCAACTAACTGTGGAGGTACCTAGTCCTCCTCCACATTCGGCGTAGCAGATGAAGCACAGCTTCTTTTTGCAGCTTGCTCACAGACAGATGACGTGTCACTAGACGTGTCGCTAAACTGACCTGGGTCAAAATCGGACGCAGTGTCAATGGCGTCAGAGTCTGACGCCAAGAAGGCATATGCCTCCTCCAAGCTATACATGCGCTGCATGTTTCACCAACACACTACCTGACACAAAACTAACAAATTGCTAACACACAGTTTTTTTAAAAATAGACTAAAACAGACTTCAGCGGCAATCCCTAAACTAACTCCTGCAAAGAGAATCTAATGGAGATTTGGGGGAAGGAAACTGACTAAAGTTTGACGCTTATAAAAAAAATTTCTAAAACACCCTAAAAGACACTAAAACACACTAAAGCAGCTTTTTGACAAAAAAAAAACCTTAAGGGCAAAAAAAAATTACAGACAGTACTAATGCACTTCTGTAATAGGACTTGGCAGGGAAGGCGTTAAAATTTATTTTTTTTTCTTTTACTTTTTAACAGGTTTTTGACACTTCTAGCAACTCTTTCACACTGGCAACAATCTATCTGCTCTGATCTCTGTCTCTCTTGCCTCACAAAACGCTACAGAGGAGAGAGAGGCAGAGATCAGTGTCAAAGTGAGTGTTTGTAACACCCACTTTGACATCAGCCAATTGTGAGCGATCGCGGATCGCTCACACGCTGCAATTGGCTGTTACTATCTGCCCAGGGTGCCGGGCAGATAGTAACAACCGGATTTCGGCGGAAACGATCTCTAATTGCTCTCGCCGCCCGTTTTCCGTTATGACGGTTCAGGACCGTCACCGGTCCTCAACGGTATGTTACCGATGACGGTCCTGAACCGCCATCGGTCGGCAAGGGTTTAAAATGTTTGCAGGTTGGATTTTTTAGTGCAGTACAATAACTGTGGAATATATATATTGTATAACAAAATCTTTTTTGGTATGAGTTGAAAATGTTGGCAATTATAGCATGTTCAACCAATCTATTTGTTTTACCTGTTTTGGGAACAATTTACGTGATAATGTCACAGATGCTGAAACTCTTGATGTTCAGTTTATGTCTATATATAGTGAGGTTCTTTTTTATGTGGTCGTCAGTTTTCAGATACAAAACAGAGTGTGAGCGCTTAGTCAACAATAGTGTAACAAGTTTGGTGAATATACCAATGCAGTGTTTAACATAACAACGTTTCCTCTCCCCTCTTCTCCTTCCCATCCTTCCCCTCTTTATAATCTTTTGCAGTTATTGGGCCGTTTTAGCCCGTTTTGATGGAGCGCCTTGCTTTGGGCGTACAATGTGTGTGCCTTGTGTGGCTAGTGTTGTTGATTATAGTTTGTGCTGGCTCCCCGATGTGTCATCGCTTGGGGCGTTATAGTGTAGTTGAGTCTAAGTGTGTGTGCAGTTTTTGTGATTTAGGTACACAGATCCGGTTAGTGTGGTTCTTCATCTAAATAGTAGGCTTTAGTGCGGTAGGTCAAGTACTAGTTCTAGGGGGTTAGAGTCCTACTTTTGTCCGCCTAGTTGTGGGGGAGAGGGTAGCAGCTGGAAATGTGGTAGGATTAGGGGAGGGGGTATACAAAAAGAGAAAAAGAAAAAAGGGGGGGTAGGAAGGGTCGCCTCTGTAGTGCTAGGGTTGGACCGTTCCTTCATGTTCTTCAGGTTCTGCTGAGGGCTCAGTGCTGTTCGCTCTGTATTTGGAGTTCCGTCTTGCTGATCCGTCTTGCTCTTGCCTATGTGGGCGGGTGTCTGTCTGTGCATCTCCGGTACAGTTTTCCGGCTCTGTGTCTCTTCTGGGGGTCCTCTGTATGTGCACCATGGGTACCACGTCAGAGCGCACTTCTCCGAGTTGCCCTGTAGGGATGCTGTGAGCGATTCCATGCTATACAGGTGTTCTACGCTGTTCATCCATTTTTCGTCGGTCGGGACGTTGGTCGTTCGCCAGTTGGGTGGTATGAGTGATTTCGCAGCATTCAGCAGGTGCTTAGTAAGAGACCGTTTGTATCTAGACAGGGAGAGAGATGTGTGGTGTAGCCACTTCTGGAGTGGTTGAAAGGTAAATCTGGATCAGCTATTTCAGTGATTTTAGTGGTATCATTTTCCAGAACGGTTCTATTTTTGCGCATGTCCACCAGATATGTAGATCTGGTCCGGGTTCTCTGCTGCATCTCCAACATGTGTCTGGGTGTTCGGGTATCATGCGGTGTAATTTCGCTGGGGTCTGGTACCAGTTCACCAACAGCTTATAGTTGAGTTCCTGTATCTTGGTGCTGACGGTGCCCTGGTGTGCAAGGATATGTATTTTTTCCCATTGGGGGTCTGTTAATGTACTTCCTGTGGCCTGTTCCCATAGGGATATGTGTTTTGGTGGAGTTTGTGGTGTGGAGGTGAGTAGAATAGAGTAAAGGAGAGAAATCCCTTTGCCAGGGCGGTCTCTCGATGCGCATAGTCGTTCGAATGCAGTTAGTTCCCTGTGGATCAGATGTTTGCCCCTAATGGACCGGTAGTAGCGTTGAATCTGGTGGTATCTGTATTTGCTTAGGTACGAGGGGGAGTCCGTGGTAACCCTTAGCCTAGCGCTGGGCGTGGTGTATATGGAGGAGATCCATGTTAGCATATGTGGTCCGAATGCCATCGTTTTGAGTGTTGCCATCATGAACTGCCAATCCACCCTATCGAAGGCCTTTTCTGTCGAGAGGAGAATGGTTTTGCGGCCGGTGTTGTGTGCCATATGTATCACGTTGAGGGCTCTGATGGTGTTATCCCCTGCCTGGTATGAAGCCCACTTGATCCGGGTGTATTAGGTGTGGCAGCACTTTCCCGATAAGTGTGGCTAAGATTTTAGTGAATAGTTTTAGGTCTGTGTTAAGGAGGGAGATCGGACAATAGCTTGAGCAGTTGGTCAGGTCTTTCCCCTCCTTTTGGATGAGTGTAATGGTCGCCGATAAGGTGTCTGTTGGGAATCTGCCTCCATCAAGGATTGCGTTGAGACTCTTTAGTAGAGGTGGTAGCAGTGTCTCCTTAAATTTTTTGTAGTACGTGGTCGGGAGGCCGTCTGGTCCCGGTGCTTTGCGTGGTTTTGAGATCTTCAGGGCTGCTTGTAGTTCTTCTATGGTGATGTGTTCTTCCAGGCTTTCTGCCATGTCTCGTGTGAGGTTTTTGTACAAGTGTTGTTCTAGGTATTCATTGATCCTGGTTGCGCGTCTCGATTGGGCTGTTTAACTCTGGTCCATGGGTATGTTGTACAAGTTGGTGTAGTAGTGGTGGAACACTTCTACTATGTGACCCGGGAGTTGCTTGATCCGGCCGTCCGTTCCCTTGATCTTGGAGATGTGGGCAAGTCTCCGTTTACACTGCAGCATTCTAACCAGTAGTCACCCACATTTATTGGAGTGCTCATAGAAATATCTGTGTGATCTCCGGATTGAGTGGAGGAGGCCTTGGGAGAGCAGCTGTTGCAGGGCTCACCGCGCCTCAAGTAGCTCCTTATACGTGTTTGGGGAGAGCATGTCTTTGTGGGAGCTTTCCAGTTCGGCCACTTGCCGGGTGAGTTCCGTTGCCTGCTGCCGTTGGGCCTTCTTCCTCTGGGTACAGTACCGGATGAATTGACCTTGGATAGGCTGCCCAGACCATTAGGGGATCCGTGTCGGGCAGGTCGTTTTCCTCAAAGTATCTTTGTAGGGTCGTCCGGGTGTCAGTTTGAGCTTCCAGTTCATCCAGGATTTGTTTGTTAAGTTTCCATTGTTTGTCATTCGGCTTGAACAGTGGCGAGTGTATAGTTGTTAGGATGGGCGAGTGGTCAGACCATGTGGCCGGTAAGATAGTGCTTGATTTTAGTAACGTTAGATATTCTTGGGACAGGAAGATGGCACTGGCTGTCCACACCTCTCCCCGATCTGTGTACCTGTGAATACCCTTAGAGGTCATGTGTCAGTGGCTAGTGTGGTGGTGAGGTGATTCTCTGCAGGTTAGTATAGAGTTTCAATATAGCGTGAATGGACCCGGTGTGGTTCCCCTCCAGCTGTGGAATTCAATGTTTCGCTGTGGTCATGCTTGGAAGATCCTGTGTGGCCAGTGTAGGTGTATGAATTCTGGAGGCCTGTAGCAGGCTCACTATCCCGCTGGTGTGTTATGCCCAGTCGGGCCCGTGTAGCTCACCGTTCACCCACCCCTGTGACCCCAAGGCCCGTGGTGGGCTGCTTGTAAATGTCCCTGGCGGGTTTGGTGGGTAGCGTTGTCCCAGGGGTGGGCGCTTTGCTCAGTGTGCCAGCTGGGGTGGTACATGTCACGCTGTTTTATCTATGTCAATATGGATCATTACATTTGCAACATTTCTATCTGTTCACCCCCCAACCACCCATCCCCCCTGCTCCATCACCCAGCCCCCCGCCTCCCCAGATCTCAGGTGTCTCAGTTATCTCTAGCTCCCAGGCTTGCTGTTGCCCTTCCCGGGTCCCACCCGCCATCAGATGGCCCGCCACCCAAGTGTCTGTCCATTGCGATAGGCGTAGGGTCTGCAGGAAGAATGTGCCACGTGGTGCCATGTTTGGCCTGCAGGCTAAATGGGAAGCCCCATTTATAGGGTATTCCCTTGTCCCTCATGGTTGTGGTGAGTGGCCTGAGGGCCCTCCTGGCGTCCAGGGTAATGCCTGACAGGTCCTGATACATAGAGATCTCGTCTCCTCTAAAGTTGATGGTGGGTTGATTTCTGGCCGCCGCCATGATTTTCTCCTTGATCGGGAAGGCGTGCAGACAGCAAATTACGTCGCATGGTCGGCCATGAGGTCTGGCCAGGCCCAAGGCCCGGTGGGCTGTGTCTAGACGTATCTCTGTCGGGGCTTCCGGGCCTAAAATCTTGCAGAAGAGGGCGCAAAATGTTGTTTGCAGGGGTTCGGCCTCTTGCTCAGGAAGCCTCCTGACCCTGATATTCTGTCTACGGCTTCTAATTTCGAGGTCCTCCACTTGTCTTCTTAGGGTGATTAATATGTTGCCCTGGCTGATCACGGCAGTCTCCGCTGCCCGGTGTTGTTGGCAGCTCAGTCTGGCCTCCGTTTCCACGGCTTCCACACGTGTCTCCAGTGATGTGAGGTCTGAGCGGAGGCCTGCCAGTTCCTTCCTGAGGGCCTTACGGATCTCTCGGACCAGCGTGCCGGTGTCCGCTCTTGTCAGCATACTCCCTCCTATTGGCCGATTCTTGTCTGATTTCCCGGAGGGTGTCCTCGGTAACGGTCTGTTATGGACTATCTGCTACTGGTCGCGCCTGGGGAGTCTGGCGCCATATTGGCTGTGTGCACGGCTTCTCGCAGTCCCGCCGGGGTGGACACAAAGTCATCCATGGTCCCGGTATATCGCCGTGGGGAGCCTGTTTTAATGGTTCCTGAGCTGGTAAGCTTCTTGTTCCTCACCATTATTGCTATGGAGTGGGTAAAATGCTGATTATTTCGGGTACGAGTGCGGAGCTCTGTTAATGTGCATCTTTCTCCATGGACAGCTCAGGTTCTTACAATTCTAATGTTGCAGCAAAGGAAAAAAAAAAGTCATCAATCTACTCATTCTTACTGAATTGTCTATTACTGCTTCTTGTTTATTGGCCCGTGATAATGTCAGCAGCATATGCAAGGGTATATCATATTTTAATATTTAAAAAAAAAAATAATCTTTATGAACCTAAAAGTGACACACTGGACACTTAGCTTTCTGAAATGCTTTTTATATAAAGATCATGCTCTCTCTCTCTCTCTCTCTTTTTTAATTTTACAAAAAGTGCAGATTTCAATAGAAATTGGCACTTTTGTAAAGGAACCTTGTTCCACCCCCTGGCTTTAAAGCAAACAACAGGTCCTGTTACTTCCTGGTTGTCTATCTTAGTGGAGCTAAACTCAAGAGGCACTAATTGCCTAGAGAAGTGTTTCTCATGATATTCAAGTGAATCCCATATTGCAGAACAAGTCTGATTAAAGTAAAGAATATTTTAGTAAATGTGGCATAAAGTGAATATTGTAGGATAATAAGGAGGAGTGTATAAACTATTAATCTGAAGTATAAAGGTCACAATATGAAAATATAAATACACACAATAGCTACACACTGAGGACACTCAGACAGTTACACACAGAGGACACTGACACACACAGTTACACAGAGAGTACACAGACACACACATAAAGGACACTGACACACACACTCACACATTTACACACAGAGGAAACTGACACACTCACTGATTGACACACACACTTACTGACAGACAGACACAGTTACACACAGAGGACGCTGACACACACATTCACTGAATATTATTATTATTATTTTGGCAGAGTAGGCATGTAAGCAGGTGCCTACTCTGCCTTAGTACACCGCTGGCCGCCTCCAGGGGGGCACTAAGGTGGTTTTGGAGTACGCGTACCACTGGTTGAAAAACAAGGACCTACAGCACCTGTCTTGCAAAGACTTCTCATTGACCTGCATTGGGAAGTCTGTGATTGGACATGCATAAAAAAACTGGGCTGTGGAAGAAGGCGAGGGCTTGCAATGATAGCAGACAATAGAACTGCAGTTTTTGCTAGCTGTTTTTAGATATACCCCAATGCTAAAAAAAATGCAGAATTAAATGAATGCATGTTTCATCTGGGTTATATCAACTAAACAGTGACATTTATTTATTTTAATTTGGCCTTGGAAGGTTTCTTTAAGAGTTAAGTGTCTCCATTTAGTGTCTCCATTTACAATCGGCTTTACATTGTATAAGGCTACTTAAAATCACCTATCTCAGGAAACAAATACCACCATATGGCAATATTGTGTTAAGGCCACCACTATGTCACAGTACCCCAATATCGTTGGGTCCTACACTAAGTCCAACATGGGAGACAAGTTAAATAGTGCTACTGCTAAATAAGCTGTAGTTTATTTAAATGACCTGTTGTTAGAGCATGTGAATATATAATATAATATATATAATGCAACAGGAATGTGATAAAACCAGCAATTAAAAAATAATACAGTGGCAAAACTAAATAAAGTGATAGTCTGATGTATATACTCACAATGCACAGTATACATCTACTCTATATCAAGAGAAAATTAAAGTGACATTATTATCCAAAAGTATACATTTGAGAAGGTTTTATTAATAGCAATGACTACAAATCCCACCTACTGTTTGACATTAAAGGGGCACCTTGAATTAATTTGATAGGCTTTAATATGCTGTATTTTTTTTATCTTTCTGCAGTATGCTGCACCATAAGCCTGTCTCCACTGCCACACTCCCTCACTACAGAAAAATACTTCCTAATCAAAGTATGTACACAGCTCAGCCACTGACAGCACTGAGTGATCTGAACTACACCGCAACCTGTATTAGATGGTGAAGACGCTCAAGGAGACATATAATAGCAGCTCACTCAGTTCTATTATGTGACAGGTTCTCTGATGTGTGCATACACTGATAAAGAAGTCTTTCGAGCTTGAGAGGGCAAAGCTAAGGAGATAGACTTCTGGTTCAGAATTCTGCTAAACATTTTAGCAAAAACGGTAAAGATTTGAGCATGCAGAGAATACAGCATATTAATGAGATCAAAACCGAACGAATGCATTGGCATTTCATTCATGTAGAACAGCGGTTCCCAAACTGTGTGAATATTTCCCTGGTGCTATGATTATAATGTCATGTAATGTCGGCCGGCTGGGAGGAAGTTGCTGCCTGTCACTTCCTCCCAGCATCCTGCAGGGAGACAGCGCGGGAGGAGGCAGCCGCAGTGTGAGGGGAGAGGAGCATGAAAAGCTCCAGACCCCTTACTCCCACAGCAGCATGACTCCACCCTCCTGGCACCTAAGGTAAGCTAACAGGAAGCAGCTGAAGATATAAAAAAAAAATCTCTTGTGTATGAGTATGAGTGTGTGTATGAGTGTATGTGTGTGTGTATGTATGTATATGAGTGTCTGTATGAGTTTCAGTGTGTGAGAATGAGTGTGTATAAGTGTGAGTATGAGTTTCAGTGTGTGTGAGTATGAGTGTTTGTATGAGTGTCTGTGTGTGTGTGTGTGTGTCAGTGCTTGAGTGTGTGTGTCAGGGTGTGCATCTGTGTGTGTGTGTGTGTGTGTGTATATATGCCAGTGTGCTTCTGTGTCTGTGTGTGCGCACACATCTGTGTATGTGCATCTGTGTGTCAGGGAGTGTTTTTTTGTCAGTGTGTGTATCTGTGTCATGGTGTGGGCATGTATCAATGTTTGTGTGTGTCAGGGTGCATGTGTGTATATATCGGTGTGTATCTATATGTGTGTATGTGCTGATGTATTTATATGCGTCTGTGTGTTAATGTGCATGAATATCTGTGTAAGTATGTATGCATGTTTGTGCATACATCCAAGCAGTCAAACATCAGCACAACATACAAACACACTCCTGCAATCTAACACAAATATTACATACAAACACACCCCTGCATTCAAACTAAAAATATATATATACAAACACACCCCTTCAAACATCGACACTGTACATTACACTATAGCGCCAGTAAATGCCACAGCGCTGGAAATTTTGACTTGGGGTGCTTTGGAAAAATACTGAAATAATAAGGGTGCCTTGAACCTAAAAAGTTTGGGAACCACTGATGTAGAAGAAGATGAAATACGTTTGATATGGAGAATGATACAGAGTGAATATGAGGCCAAAGCGAAGTTGTGTTGGTGCCTAGCGTGCCCTTTAACTCTAGAACTCTAGAAACACAGCTGCTTTGTTTCACATCATGCCTTGTTATGCGGATCATTCTGGTGATGGCTTCTGGTATCCAGTACACAATTCTTGTTTAGTTTTTCTTGGTTTTCTGGTTTTCTAGTCTATGTCTGGTTTTCTTTGTTGCTGGGTTTCTGGGTTCATTCTTATATTCCGTCCCTGGATTTCCAGGTCTCTTGGATTCATT